CGTAGCATTATATATATATATATATTTTTTTTTTTTTTTGTTTTCTATAAGCTTATCTGTTTATTTTATGTGTCTGTGATATTATTATTTCTTATTAATTCTTAATTACATTTATGGTGTTTGTTTTTATGAAGTTTATTTGTGACCGGCAAAATGATCGGGATAGCAATAAGGTTTGTTCCGAATTTTGTGATATTCGAATAAAAACATGGTTTCTGATGTGGTGAAAAAGTTGGGAGATAAGTACTGTCGTATAACATCAAGTTATTGAGTGTATTGTGCCTTTTTTTTCAGTATAGTACCTGTTCGGATCACAAAAGATAAGTTTGTTATTTCACACATATTAAGGGAAACAGTTTAACACATGACATGAATTCAGGGCGGATGAGGTGACCAATAACCAAATCGGTTGATTAAGAAGTCTAACTTTAAGCACGATTACTAGATTTAATAAAGTATAACCAAGTGCAGTATGTCGGTAGTCGGTGGATACGTTTAATCCTGAAATTTTCAGTTAAAAGTGCACTGAAGGTCGTTTCTGATAGGGATTTATTATGTCACGCAAAGTTTATTAGGGAGTGGGGTTCTTCGCTTTTCAGTAGTAACGACCGTGAAGTGCGATAGTTCCTGGAGCATAGTTTCTGGTGCGAAAAGGGGTGTAAATATAGCGTGGGTAGTCGTCGTAATAAGTGAAGTATCTTCGATAGTAGAATGGTGAGTTGTAGTCGTACCTGAACATTTCGAATTTGAATCCGTCATTAATGAAAACAAGTAAATTTATAGTCTTAGTCGGAAGATTTCGAACACTAGTGGTTTCAACAGTAGTTAGCGCGTGAACTCTTACTACTTTCTTGTCACAATCCTTTTTTGGAAAGTAGCGTTAGATGACAAAAGCACTTTTTCTGTTATGGTCCCTTTTCTACTTGGAGAATTTACTGATGCTTTTCGTGTAAAGGCATTTCACCATTCCCACTATATTGGGATAAATTCAATTCTTTTAAAATCTTTTTGTAACCGAATGTGATAGGAAATATGGACTATGAATGCATATATTACTCTGGTTTTTCAGATTTAAGAACTGCAGTAATTTAATATTAAAATTACCAAAATCCTCTTTGTTTCGTCCATGTGGTATATGGTCCACTCCAGTAATGCGGATTGGGCATTATATCAGGATGGTAATAACGACGTGGATAGTATGAACTTTTGTAGATTGGTCTGAATCCACTATAACGATCATGCCAAAAGTCATCATACTGAAATAATTTCTGTGATATGTTGATGTACAAAAATTCCTTATGGATATGTTAGATTTAATTCCAATCAGGATTTTTGATCTTACCAAGTCATAGTCAGGCCAGAATGTATAGCCCCATTGAGGCTTGTATTTGTTGCTTTTTTTTTACATAATTCACAAGATCTGGCACCGATTTTGCCCGTGTTACCTGTAAATTGGAAATGGTGAATTTTAGTGAACATCAAAATGCTTTAATAGTCCAAAACATATGCAAAGAACCAAAGGCCTTTCGAAAGAAGCATTTTCCGGTTAGTTCCATTCGGCAGAATGAATGGTGTTTCAGATAATTTCTTTATTGTGAAATCCAACAACAACAAACAACAATAACAAAGATGACAACAACATCAACTATAACGACAACAACTGTAACGGCAACAACAACAACAACAACAAGAACAAGAACAACAACAACAACAACAACAACAACAACAACAACAACGACAGTAACAATCGTCAATGAACAATAATTGTCCAAACCGTTTTATTAATGGGATGAAGATAATGCGCAAAATAATTTGATACAAATCAAAACCAAAATAATATTGCTTCTCTGAAACCATCGAAAAC